AAAGTAGACAAACTCACTTCTAAAAATTTTCCTGGCTTTCTAACTATGCGACAAGAGCCGTTAAAAATTCATCCACTCTAGTTGTTAACTTTCCGACGTTAACGATGTTGCTAATTCGAGTGAAATTGACTTCTAACTGTTCAGAACATAACGTTATACAATACGTCATTTGATTTTCCTTGACTTTCTATGGGTTATAGGTAATATATAATGAAACATAAAACAGAACTTTCAACAAATTGTGAAAGAGAGAATATGACAGGTGGGTGTGGCAGGAGTGGTTTGATTTTCTCTTTGATAGCTCTGTAACCAAACAGAATTGAAGACGATAAAAATTATGGTTTGTCTGAGCAATAGTTATTTTATAGATTGTAATTTCCATTTAATTTCATACTTTTTCTAGGGGTGGTTGATAAAATAGGGATGATGACATGCCAAGAGAAAATTTGTCACATGTCTTACACTAGTGGAAATTCAGGATTTTTGAAAATATTTCCTTGTAAAATTATGAACTTAAACCTTGTATACTATTAAAATATGAATTATTAACTGAGATTCTATGCTATTCTTATTGGTATAACATAAACAAAATGGTGTTTAATAAAATTTTGAATGTAAGACACTAGAATTTTGTGTCATGCGCAGTAAAATATACTCAGGGTGATAGGGTTAATGGAGAGTTTATCTTAGTTAATTGGATCATATATATGCAATTTCTTCTTGTCTTAAAGTTTACTGGAAGAATTTTAAACTTACTAATAAAGCACTTAGTGAAAAAATTGGGTAAGGACATGTCATATCGTAGAAATATTTATCTTAGAATTCCGTTTAACCATTCTAATTATATTACCTGAGCTGTTCCACATCACTCCTCAGTTAATTCAAATCCTATTTTATTTTTCTGGTTATAAAATGTGTTCTAGAATATATCATTAAGTATGGTAGTACTTAATAGTAGGGATCTTTATGAAACGAAATGGTTGACATAAAGTATTCTGTTTAAAACCACCTATAAAATGTCTGAATATTAAAAATGACTCTTTCACAGTATTGGCTGAGCAAAACTAAAGCTTACTGTACTTATAAAACCACCTAAATTGCTATATATGTGTTTATGGAGTGAATTAAAATTTCACTATTTCAACG